TGATTTTGGGTTTCTTTGGAATGGTGATGATGGTGGAGCGTTTGAAGCAGGAAGGGTCTTCACACAGCTCCAGAAGATCTGTGAAAAGATGGAGGCCAGCTGGTCAGCACAGGTTTTCAGACAGGATGGTGAAACACTGTCTGGGTCTGGTGCTTTTCTTCTCTTCTGTTTCCTGAAAACCTGACGCACATCATCTTCACTGATCCAAAGTGCAGGAGGGGGAGAGGGGGGTTGCTGGAGGTGTTAATGTTTGTGGTGGTAATGGTCAGACTGGGTGTGGGGTGTGAGACCGGGAGTTTCAAATCTGCAGTAAAACTCATTCAGGTCTTCAGCAAGTTGTTGATTTGCCTCAGTTCTGGGGGATGGTGTCTTGTAGTTTGTGATGTCTTTCAGTCCTTTCCACAGTGAAGCAGGGTCGTTTGTTGAAAACTGGTTTTCCAGCTTTTTAGAGTAGCTCCTCTTAGCCACTCTGGTCTCCTTTGTCAGTGTGTTCCTGGCCTGATTGTACAAGATTCTGTCCTCACTCCTGTAGGCATCCTCTTCGTCCTGACAGTGCTGTCTGAGTTTTGCTGTGAATCATGGTTTGTCATTGTTGTATGTTAAATAAGTCCTGGTAGGAATGCACATATCCGCACAGAAACTGATGTATGATGTTGCAGTCTCTGTGAGTTCGTCCAGATCGGTGGCAGCAGCTTCAAAAACACTCCAAACACTCTGCTTCATTAGTCCACCTTTTTACAGTCCTTATTGCAGGTTTAGCTGATTTCAGTTTCTGCCTGTAGGTTGGTATAAGATGAACCAAACAGTGATCAGAGAGCCCTGTTGGGCATTATTTTACAAAAAGTCCAGCTGATTGGATATTGTCCCACCAACTTTTCAAAAAATGAATACATTTACATTTATTTGTAAATAAATCAGTAGATCAAAAATCAATTACAATCAGTCTGTATGTCCCTAAAGCGTGATAAAGCATTGTGTATGACATTATATAGATTTTAAAATCTTTAGGGAAGGTAGTTTAGCTAACTTTGCTGGTGGTGGCACATTACAGTTTTCATTATGATAGACTAACCACAACTGATTTTGTACAGAATATTACTTGTACATTAAATAAAAAGAAAATTATGTAATTTGCTGATGGATAGATAGAAAGCGCAGGCATATTAGTCTATATGCTTATGTCACTGGTAGTTGGTGCACACTGGGTAATGTCTGCTCCCCCTGTCCCCTGATGTCTTTCCCTAAATGACCAGTCTCTGAAGGAAAAAGTAATAACCTTCTATATTGGTAATAAAATATATTACATAAAATATGATAAACACTTAGAGCAACCCTTTAGAGGGTTCGATGTTGAACAGGTTTTCTGTGCCTAGTGAAGCTATTTATTAAAAAATGCACCACAATAAAGGAAGACTTCATCTGGTCGTTATCCATATGGTTTATAAAGATAACCACCACAAATCCTCTCAACCTTTCTGTCTTTCATTACCGTTCGCCAGCTGTGCACCGAGACGCTCAGATACAGCACATAATTTGTTGTTGGGACTGTCTCCAACAGCGAGAATACACCTAATATTGATCTGCATTCATTCCTCTGTTCCTCTATCGCATATAAGATGAGTTCCTCTGATAAGGTTCATTTATTTACTTTGGTCTCGCAGACCTTCATCTCAGTTGAGCTGTGTTCAAGCAGTAATAGTTTTCTATTAGATTTCCCAAAAGCAGAGTCAGTTATTTACCATGGTGATGCATCATTAAATCAAATGGACCCACGTGACACGGTGAGCTCGCGGTCCTTTGATGTTTATGATCAGAAAGTGTGATCAGCATTTATTAGCTTACCGAGGAAATTGGGACTGTGAATCTATGCACATATGAAGCCCCTGACCCCTCTGAAAGCGTCAGATATTAGATATGGAGAATTGAAGTGCTCTCATTGTGCAGGAAACCCAATATGACAAAACATTACTGCTGTCTCACTGTCTCATGGGTCGGGGTGAGGTCAGCCACTATGAACAAGATAAATAATCCATTTCAGGCATGCATGTGGAAGCTTTTTACTTTAATGCTACAATCCATAAATAAAACTGTTTTGTGAACATAGTTAAATTCACCATAAATTACGAACCAAAAATAATTTATTCAAATGGATTTGTTGTAGTGCTGTTGTGTAAATTTAAATTAACTTTGTTATGGTTAATAGATGCAAGGCCTGAGCGAAATTTGAACTTAGGTTGTCTGCAATCGCTTACACACCACCATTCACAGTTTATGCTACTCTGATTCACACTGCTTTTCAATTTATTATCCAAAAATGAATAATAACAATTATTGTGGCGATGATGGTAATGATGATTATTATTATTACTATTATTACATGTATATTAAAATATGAGTATATTTTATATATATAAAAAAATATTATATATACATATTATATACATATTATAAACTTTGTGTATATATTATTATTATGTTCATTATTGCATATATTAAAATATAAATGTGTTATATTTTATTTTAATATAATTTTATATATATTAAAACATCATTATGTAATATATATATATATATATATATATATGTAATGTAATATAATTATCATTATAATTATGATTATTATTACTTTTTGGAGTATAAATTAAAAATATACAGTGGGTACGGAAAGTATTCAGACCCCCTTAAATTTTTCACTCTTTGTTTTATGATTATTATTACTTTTTGGAGTATAAATTAAAAATATATGTACTATTATTATTATTATTATTATTATCATCACCATCATCATCATCATCATAGAATATGACTTTAGATTTGGACACATATTTCAAAATGAAGGTAGAACACAGAGCTGCTTGATTTTCCCTTGGTAGTTTCCTCTCTCCACTTTATATTTGTGTCTCATTAGGGAAATTTTCCTGACAGTCCTCTCCAGATCTCAGATGCTTTGTTAGTGGTTATTCATTCCATGGCATGATGAGCAATTCCTACCAATTTATACAATGATCTAATGAATGATAATTAATGAAAATAAGAATGACTATGATAAAGGGGTTCTTTCAGCTGGAGGATCAAGACTCATTTATAGTCACATTCATGTTATTGGTAGATTTTTTTTTTTTTGTCTTATAACGTGCTTAATAAGATAATGTATTGAATTAAAGCTCAAATTTGACTCTGAAAGCTGATGTAGGGTGGAATAGGTTGATATGAAATTTTCTAAAAGTTAGAAATGGCTTGAGTTGCAGCATTATGAATGCACTGCAGAGTCATGAAGATATTGTTTGTAGACCAACAAGGGCAGAATTTCTTCTAGTGTTCTAGCTGTAGGAGACTTAGAACCTGTTTTTGTCACTATACAGACCTGTTTGTCAAGTGTCATTATAACACACTCATAGATGTAAAAATTGTTACTGAATTTGTTTTAATTAATGTAAATACTTGAATTTACTGTTCAGATATGCAGTACCAAGAATTATTTTATACGTATTCTATATGTTCGCATGTGATTTACAATGTCTGAATGACCTTATTTAGTAGAGTTAACACCTTGTCCACGTGGTGCTTCCAAAGCATTATTTATGGAACAACAAGGTATGGTCTCACTGGGAGCAGTGACTTAACCGGGCACATGTGGGGGCTGCACAACTGCCCTTTTCAATCCCAGCATCTTGCTTGCTTGTCTTTGGGTACAAAAATGGTTCAGCCCTAATGGAGTGTTAAAGCTTTCTCCAGCTCTGTCTTTAGCCCTAGCCGTGTTCCTGTGACAACGGCTTAATGAAATGAATGGGCTTTCCAAAGGACCTGCTCCGCTCTGCCGTTGTTGCATTATTCATCTGGTGAGTCAGGGTGACTTACAAATTCGTACATTTAGAACATTAATCCATTTATTTTTGCTGGGTATTTATCCAAGAAGTTATTTTCCTTGCCTTACGGGATGCTGGGGAACACACTTTCTTGACACCGTGAACACTTGAACAACTTTTCAAAAGTGTGTTGATGCTTAGTTAATGGCCCTGCAGTATTCACTGCCAAACCCATGATGTCTCATTCAAACAAAGTGTCTTCTGGAGCTTGGCCAAAAATGTAGCTTGTCATCTGAGTCATGGAGCATATCGATATGAAATCTCTGAATAAAACATCATTGACTGAACGGATTTGAGTGGCCAGAATAATATATCAGGAGAGGCGTAAGCAGCACAAAACATATTCTGGCCCCACTTTATATTAGTTGTCTTTAACTACTATGTATGTACATCCAAAAAACAGTCCCCATTGACTTCCATAGTATGAAAAAAGCACTATGTAAGTCAATGGGGACCAGCAACTGAAGGTGAACTATCACTTTAAGGCTCTGATATACTTCAAGCGACATCAAAGAACAAACTGGTATGACGTCATTTCAAATCAGACCAAAACGAAATTTGGTTTATGACCAGACTACTGGTCATCTTAAAGCTGCCCTAAAAGGGACAGTTGTTCACTCAAAAAATGAAACTTTATTTACTCTGCTCATGTTGTTCCAAACTTGTATGACTTTGTGTTGAATCGATGATGACAGAATTTTTGAGTGAAATATCCTTTTAATCCCTTTGTGCAAAAATGCAGCCAATTTGAATTTGCAATTACAGACTTTTATCCAAAAGTGCCATTTTGTCTCTTCCTAGCCATGTTGAGCTACACCTGTCCATTTAAGTCTAAGGTAAACCACAATCCCAGAAGGCAGACATTTGGCATGTGTGTAATGCCTGAGGGATGTCAGCTCAGGTAACCATGAACAGCCATTATTGCCTCCATTTAACAATTAGAGGGGATGGGGAAAAAGAAAAAAATTACGTACGTGATGGCCCCTCAAGCAAAAAAAATGTGTTATGACATTATCTCTTGTAAAGGACCCTAGCCGCAAGCAAAGGTCTTCATCATCTTTCCATGTAAAGAGCTGTTCTTTGGTAACCTGTCACCCCATCATTTATCTCACTTTTGCTTTTGTCCCCTCACAGATCGCCTTCTCTCAGCACAACAGCATTATGGACCTGGTGCAGTTCTTTGTGACGTTTTTCAGGTGAGTGCTTGTGCCTTCTTTGTTCTCTCCGCCATTTCAAAGGTGTGATGTAACAGAAGTTGACCCTGATGGCATCTTTCAGCTGTTAAGCCGTCATGTCTCATGCCTTTTCCTTATGCTTATAATGTATATTAGCTGTTTCTTTACCTCAAAAATATTGCATGTAGTAACAAGTAATTTGATGTTTAGGAAACAGCTGAAGTTGATTGAAGTGGTTCAGCTTGACATTTAAAGGATTACTGGATTACTGGATAAAGATTTACACTTCCAGAATAAAAATGTCTTGATAATTTACTCACCCATATGTCATCCAAGTTGTTCATGTCTTTCTGTCTTCAGTCGCAAGGAAATTAAGGTTTCTGAGGAAAACATTCCAGGATTTTTCTCTATATAATGGACTTCAATGGTGGCCAACAAGTTGAAGGTCCAAATTGCAGTTTCAGTGTAGCTTCAAAGGACTCTATGTATATACTTTTTAACCACAAATGCAGTAGTTTTACTTGTAAGGCATAGCTCACCCAAACATGAAAATCATTTACTAACCCTCATGTCATTCCAAACCTATATGCCAGCTGCTCTTTACCGTACAGTTACGGTTTATGGAGACTTAAGAAAAAGCCTCACAAGTATCATAAAGTATCATAAAAAAAATAGTCCATATGACTTGTTCAATATATTCCAAGGCTTGAAGAAATGTGATACCAAAGCAGGGTGAAATTTAAGTTCACTGAAGCTCTTTTTGGCACTATGGAAAAATGTCTGATTTGGGAACAAATACTTGTTGAGAGTCAAATATTTTCAAAAAAAATTTTATCCAGTTCACAAAACAGGTTTAAATGTTGTTTTGACTCATGGAGTAGATGAAAAAACAATCAAGTTGTATGGACCTCATTTATGGTGTTTGCGTCTGTTGAGAGTCAGATATTTTGAATACTTTTTTGATTCATTTACGAAACTGGTTTAAATGTTTTTTTGACTCATGGAGGGAAAGATTAATTAATGACTTAAATTTCAGTTTGGTTCTCATATTAAGCTGTCATATGACTTCAGAAAACTCAGAATATAGTGCACAATTCCTATGAACCACTGGTGCTTTTGTGTCTTTTTTGAAACTTAAAAACTTTCAGCACCTTTAAATTGTAATTGCATACAACCAGCACTTTTCTTGGAAAAAATAAAAATAAAACCAGCACTTTCTTCAGAATTTCTCCTTTTGAGTAGCACAGCAGAAATTAATTCATATGGGAATGGAACAAATTGAGGGTGAGAAAACAATGACAGCATTTTTTATTTTGGCAGCACAATATGAGACAAAACACAAATGAAAAATATAGCTGCAAGCAGCAATTGCGGGGCCAAGCACTCCAGAGGCAAAATAAAAAAAAAAAAAGAAGCTAAGCATGGCATGGAGCATTAAACCAAATGCGACAATGAGTAATAAAAGCAATTATAGGATGATTGTAATTGAAAAAGTTTGTTGTCATTATGTCAAAGCTTTGAAGAGATATAGCCTTAGAGTCATTTTGGCACCATGCCTAAAATTTGTAGCAGCGCTGTACGAAAACGGTTTCGTCTATCGACACGAAATCCATAGCATTTTGTCCACACAGTCTGAAGATGATTTGACTCGATTTTGGTGAAAATCGGACCAAGGCTTGAGGAGGAGTTCGAAAAAGTAGGTTTACAGCATAAATCAAAATGGCCGAAAGGAAGTTCAGATTTGCTAAGGCATAATTGGTATGTATGTTGTCGGCATAAGCCAAGGAATATTTTGAGACCAGTTTCATTGCAATAGGCTAATGCAATCAAAAGTTATTAGCATTTTTGGAAATTTCATAATTAATAATAAATCAATGGTTTATAACTCTTGACCAATAGGAGGCGCTGTTGCCAAATTGATGTGGCGTGGTCAGTGTGAGGTG